TACAAAGACAACAAAACCACCCCCCCATCCCCATACCAGGGCTTCTACTAGTGCAACTTGTTCCTCATTTGCCCACAAATTCATATGGATGTGAAAGGACACATCCGATGTACAACTCGGTCCTTCTAAGTCCTCCATCTTGCAGCCAAAAGGAGCAAGCTGTGTCATACTATGTGTACAATGTGGCATAATCTACCCCTCCCAATAGAAAGGAGCAACTTTTGTAATGCTTCAGGGCAAAAGGAGTTATAGGGGTACAGAATTTCTCAGTACTGGTTACTGTACTTGGAACCCCATCCCTCAGGAATTGAGCTCTGTAAAGACAGGACCTTTATTAGATGTATCAGTGCTTCTTGAAGCTGAGACCTACTGAGAACAGTAGGAGGTATAGTCTGAATTTCTGTTGTTCCAAGTGTTAAAGGCGAAGAAGAACTGGCTTTACTCTCCACTTCAGTAACTTTTGTAGCCGATTGCTGAAAAACACTAGGAGACAAGAGGATTGAAGGCGTTACTGTAGTTGTGGTTGTAACAAACTGCGGCGGTGCAACCTGTAAAAGAACAGGAAATTAATAAGCACTGTGTCCAGTAAGAATGAATACTGTTCTAAATGCTGGAGAGACAAGCATAGAAAAAATAAATAAATCGTAGCCACTATTATTCAGACAGATATTGAGAATAGCTGCTCTTAATGAAGAAATATCTACCTATGAAGATTAATGTCAATAGTAGTTATATTTTTAAAAGTTGCAGAAGGTAAGAGTCTTCAGTATTCTGGTATGCAGACTCCTTCCTCCTCATGTGGTTGCTACTTTCCAGATTTTTTGAAACATAACACATACAATAAAACATGAGCTTTTCACCTAGGTAATCAAAGGAGCCTGTAGTTGTTTTGCAGATTATTATTTTCCTTAGGGGTTTACAGAAAGGCTAGTCCTGCTTCCTGCCCCCCCCCATTTCTATGCTCTCCAAATTCACTTATAATTTGAAGTAAAGTATCTCAAAGATATTTAAAATGACTGATGAACTATAATTAAAGCATTGGAGTACAGTGAAATATTCCCATTCTAAGTACATTTTCCCTCGTGGAGAGGGGGAACAGGATTATTTTGAGGACAACCTTCCCACCTCATTCTTCCACAGGTCTGTGTCCATTTCATTACAGAAATCCACACACTGCCCTTACTACTTTTCCTTTTAAACATAAATTGCAAATGTATAGGAATATTATATTTGCATAAAGTGGACATGAATAAGCATGAGCTTTGAGCAACTCTGACATGTCCTAATAACTGCAATTATTATTCAGTAATCTACATCTTGCTCAGGCTTCCAGAATGACCAATATGGTGGAAAAAAAAAATAAATAAACAAGCCAATCTCACTCAAAAGAAAGCAAGACTAAATGTAAAGATGTCTGATACATCAGCAGAAAGAGTTCCCCTTGGATAATCAAAAATCTTCAGAATTAAAAAAACTGCAAAGCCATCTAAAGTTGATGCATATATGGTAACATCAACAACAGTAGAACTAGCAAATTGCTTTTATTATAGTCAAAATTGTGAAGACTTACACCGTGGATTTCAGCTGAAGACAATGCGTTAATGCAGTTTATTACACAACATGCACATGTTCCTTAAAATTCCAAAATCCATGTAAATGCTTTTGTCTACGTAATTATTTACCAACTGCATCATGAATAGACTGTATAGCTTGTCTTGTAGCAGGCCAGTAGCTAAACTGGCATTTTACTTTAAGCAGGACCATTTTCACTGCCTTCACCATCAGATCTGGGCATGCTACTAAAACTGCTTTTATATAGTGCAAGTTGGACAACAATGAAGCAATTTAATAGCGGTTTGAAAAAGGAGAGGGTGAGTAAAGGAAAAGTAGAATTAAATTACAGATGGTATCCTGAAAAGAATACATAACAAGAAGGTAATTAAAAACAATTCTCGAAGACTATTACTATTTTTTTTAAACTGCAGTCTGAAATTTTATATTGACATTATTTTGAACTGTTATTCAAAGACAGTTCTAATAATGTTAAATCGGTATTTAGATCACTAAAACTCGCTGTTAGAAAGTTCTGCAGTAACAAATGCTTGTTATTCTTCCCCTATCTTCCATTTTTTTTTTGCTTGGTATTTTCTTCATAAAATACAAGGTATCTCAGGAAAACTGAAAGAGGCAGTAAGACAAGGATTGCATTTTATGCCTCTGGAGTGCTTAAAGTTGGGCTAAGGCTAATAGACCTTACTGCAATATTATAGTATTAGTACTGCTTGCTTACAAGATTAAAAAAAACAGTTCAAACGGTGCAAACTCAACACACGATTGCAGATCCAAAAAGTTGTTCCCATTTCTGCATTAGCACCAACAATAAGAGGCACTGTACAACAAAAAAGTATACTCATTCATAGCAGTCTACAGAAACTCCCCGTTGCTCCAGAACAGCTTGCTTCTGCTTCATAACAGCGCTTTAAATATGGTCAGTGGGCAATGACTACTTGAGATACCAATGGCTTACCACAGTTTTGCAACCCTCTCTTTTTCTTTTTTTTTAAAAAAAAAACCAACCAGCAAACAATTAGCAGAGGTACTTATTCACTTACTTGACTTGCTTTAGACAAAGCCTTCGGCTGTGGAAATACTTCTGATTCCTTGTTTTGTTGTACAGTCTAAGTTAAAAAGAAAGCATAATTCACAAGTTAGCATTCACAGCTCTATTTCCAGTGATGGTTCTGTTTTTATGAAAGCACACAAATGCAAATTTCAACATATTTTAGATGTGATGCCACCCATTTTGTAAAACTGATATAGTCAATGGGAAGCTGGAAAGAGAGGAGAGATTTGAATTTATGTTTTATGCTTTCAATATTACAGCAAACTTGTAAAGCCATAACAAAACATTTCTGAAGAAAGACGACTACAGTTAAAAAAAAATAATCTAAACTTTAAAACACTGAAACTGGAAGAAAATGCATGCGACAAAGTGAAGAGTTCAGTACCTTGTAATCAGTTTGGTAAATTACCAGGAAGGCTATATTCAGTTTGTTTTTTTTTTTTCCTAGGAGTTTTATCTAATCACCTCCACAAAAATTAAAATGTTTTTTGCTAGAATTTCAGAACTATTTTATACCTTTACAAACATCATCCAGACATTTCTTTAGTCAGATTTCAAGATTGTAATATAATTCAAGTATTATAAAATACTAGAAAACACAATAAAAGCATGTAGATAAGGTACTTGAGTAAACTCCTGTGGCATTCTTCAAAAGGCTTGTCACAGCCATTTGGAGTACCTCTTGGCAACACAGAGCACGGAAAACCTCTTTGCAACAGACAATACTTAGCTTACTTGAACTGCAATGAAAAAGACTCACGGAACTGACAGTCCCTAATGACAAAAAAAAGACTCCTATCTTTATAAAGTCATAACAAGCACAAGACCGAGTTCTTAAAGTCTAATTACACAAGAGCTAAGAAGTCTTTTGCCAGTTTGAGAGTATATTTGGACTATGGAGAATTTTGTCTTATGAAAATAATACACACAGTGGACATGGTAGAAGGAAAAAAAAAAAAAGGCTATAAGACTGGCATATGAAGAGCTAATTCCCAAGGCTATCAAGCAGACATTGAATAAATGCAGTCAAGGGCAGTTATGGAATAACCCAGCCAGCTTTTCTAAATGCTTGAAGATGTCACAATCTTCAGTCAAATCTGTACCAAGGTTTAGTAGCACACGAAGGAAAAACACTGCTCAGAATGTACAGTTCTTCAATACTAGATCAACACAGCAGCTGAATGCTGTACTTGGACCTCCTCCTCCCTCTGCAAAATGGATCAGTCGAAATATCTCAAAAAGATGATCGCTAGTAAAATAATCCTAGCACGTAGCAGCCACAGCCTTCTTGAAAATTTTCAGGAACAGCAGTAGATTAGAAATAGGGTAATTAGAAAGACAGCACAATGAAAACACCCTCATTTCTTAAACAGCCTTCTTAAAAAAGACAGGGATAACTCTTTTGAGGACAGAAAAGCAACACTTGAAAAAATAGAGTATTCTAAAATGACAATTAGGACAAGTTACAGGCTGAAGAGTTGAGCTTTTGATTAGATCTCTACTATGAGTAAGTCATCACCATATTCATAGTAAAGAATAGCAGCTGACCCAGACAGGGCTACCAAAGATCACATTAAAACCCAGTGGCAAGCACTGGGTAATAATAAACTTCAGGAAATTTGTGCAGATGTAGCTCTAAGTAGTTTCGTTTGCTGTTTTTTATTCTTGCATTATTACTCTACCCAAGATGCAAAAAGACACAATCAAACACTGACTTAGTCTGCATAAATGTAAATGAAATAAAATAATAAAGCAATAAAATGAAGAGAAGTCTTTGGATAACCTCAGAGGTGGGCACTACAGAAAGTTACTCCCTTTGGAGAAAAAAACAAATCCAATAACCCAAACTCATTAAAGTCTTTACTACTGAGGTAGGCAATTATACAGCACAGCAACACTAATTGCTAGAAAAGACTTCATAACACAAAGCCACACACATTACCCTTACAGACTAGCAGTGACATTTTCACCTACTGTCTCAAAAGAAATTTACTGCTTCGGCTTATATTAAGGCATAGACAATAGATTCTCCTCCAAGAAATAAAAAAATTAAGAGGTCCTTTGTAAGCAATACTAGCATAAAACAAACCAAAGCAGTCAATTGGACAAAATAAATCAGTTTCCGATCCATTTTACTAAATAACTAACAATATCACAATGTAGTCCACAGGTATCCCCAGCAGAAGGGGGTCAAAACTGAAGGAGTACAAAACATCCAAAGGAAAATAACCAGAAACAGGAAATTTTGTATCTTCAAAGAAGGTACAGGCTAGACTTCAACAGCATCAACTCTCATAACACTGATCAGTCTGTAACCTTCTGTCCCTTCTCAGATCATCACTTCTTAGCAGTATTTTTCTGACACAAGTACAGATGAATTCTTTAGGACTTACTCATCCCCTAACAACACCAGCTTGAAAAACCACCTCCTCTACAGACAGGTCTGTCACTGATAGCAGATGCTAATGATATAAAACTAATGGAACTGGATTTCTAAGTCTGCAATTCAATCAATATCATACACTGGAATTCCTTCATTATTTTTAAAAGGCGAATATATAACAGCACATTTTCCAGGGAAAAATACATGTAGTCTAAAAACAGTCTAAAGTTTCATGGATATAAAAACCCACAGAATACCTGAAGGGGAGAGATTATCTTGCTGTTCAAGGCTGATGGCTTACTGTGAGATTCTTTGAAGCTTTCTGGTGTTGCAAGTTGGCCAACTGAGGCAGAGATGTTTGGTGTTAAGGAAGTCTTAGTAAGAGGCTGCTGTTGCATTTGGTCATGCTGTGGGGTCAACCTGAGTTTCTGGAGAAGATCAACACTTGTATGGCATGTATTTGAGACAGTTCCTGTATTTGTTGATGTCAAGGGTGCTATAAGCTGGCTTTGGCCAGCTGTTAGGTTTTGTGGAGCGTGGTTCACTTCAGATGGCGGCTGATTCACTAGTGGGGATATCTGCTTGGCAGCTTGCTGCATAACTTGCATTATATTGTTGTTTTGTTTTAGGCCAGGAAGCATCTGAGCAGGGGCAACTTCCACTGTCGACGCTGAATTAAGAACAGGGCTTAAGCGAACTGAATAGCTTGAAACATTTTTTATATCAGGCTGGGAAACTGAAGCTGGAGGTATTAGCATAGGTGTTAAACATTCCTGGTGATCCAAAGGATTGGCACTGGTTTTAACGCTGGGACTTTCAGATTTCCCTACTGATTGTTGTATTACTGTTGACTGGTCAAAGGAAAAAGGCAAGAGCAAACTGTGCTGCTCTCTGGCAGAGGTGTCAGCTTGCAACTTCTCCATTCTCTCCAGATTGGGATACGGAGCTGCAGGCTGTTCCTTTGGTACAGAGGTTCCAAACAGTTCCTCCAAAGTCAGATGCTTCTGCCTGGACTGAAATGGCTAGAAAGAAGGGAAAAGGAAGTTTTCAGTTTAGAAATATACATACCACTGTGCATCTCACATGGCCTACTACAATTTCAAGAAAACTATGAAAGACATCTAGGTCAAACACATTTAAAATCCAGTTTGGATACCAAGTGTGCCCTATTTACAGGAATTTTGAAATCAATTTAATTTACAGGGAACATTCTGTCTATGGAAGCTTTTTATCTACAGCCTTCTATCGACAGACTCTGTGCTAGCAGCAAAGAAGGGGGAAGGCTATGGATTCTGTCATTAAGATGGCATCTGCCATCATCAATCAGCCCTAACTACACAAGGCACTTTGGGAGCGGGGGGGGAACAACATACATGTTGAACAAAATCCTCACAGAATTTTTAGAGCTGGAAATAATTAAATGGCCTAAAGACTGGAAAGGAACAGAGAAACCTGAAGGTACACAACTCATCTAGCAATACACGCCTACGAAGTTTTCTCACCCTTTTTAATAACAATGCAATAGCCATTACAATAGGTACAAGAATCAGTATAAACCTAAACATATGCATCTCTCTTTCTCCACCCCCTCTCGAAAAGTGTATGCATATATACACACACAGAGTTACATTTACCATTCCTATAGTCTCTCCCAAAAAAGTACACCTAGCCTACACCACTGACATTGTTAGAAAAATCTGATTTTAAGGATATCATCTTCTTAATATTTTGCTGAAAATATTTTTTAAAAGTGTTTCACTAAGGAGAAAAGAAACAGCTATTAACACCCTTAATCTCAAAATTTTCCTTTTTTATTTTTTTTTTAAAGTTGCACAGGACCAGAAGTTATATAAAACAGCTGGACTGAAATACAACATTCTGTTCAGAAGACTGAATGGCCTGCAGCACAATTCTAGTGTATTCTGACGGTATGTCTAAACAAAGATGCTATTTTACAATGACAACTACTGTACGACGACATTGCTATGCTAGCTCTAATTTTATTAGCACAGATAACAGCAGTGAAGGCATGGCAGAACAGGTAGCATGCACGTAGCCTAACAAAAACCCCCTTGATCTTGAAATTACATTAACTTCTGCGCAGGTTACTAACCTCTACTGCCATTGTGATTCATTTTTAGCTAGCTTAAAGTCAAGCACACTTTCATTTTGCAGCTGAGACATTCTATAGTTTATAAACCTTGTTAATTATGTTAGAACTTCTTCTTAGACAGTTGTTCTTACTTTTTTCCACTGATCTTACTGTTCTGGAAACCTGTCCTTCAACTGTAAAGATTCCATTAAGAGAAAAATCACTATTCCATCTCATTTCAAACTCAGCATTTCACTTCAGTATGATAAACTGACTAGCTCTCCTTTATTAATACAATATTCAAGTAATTAGACAATTACAAAATTCGAGTAATAAACAGAAATCTCTACCATGCTCTGATCCAAGTCAGACTAGCCCCTTACATGTATACAGTCTCAAACATGAAGTTAATTTCCATCCTGAAGTATAAAACACATCTTTTGCCTGTCCCATCTCTGGCTGAGGTATATTTTGAGCGTACCATCAACTCAGTGTGTTATGAAGACCCTTATCAGCAGGGGCTGCAAAAAGGCAACATGATCACGAGTGCTGCTCAAAGGGTTTCTCCAGAAATCATTTCAGACATACTGAAACACGAATAAGCAGCCAGAGCTGGCACTGTAAAGTTTAATTTCAGTGTTCTGGTTCAGTTTTCCCAATCACTGGCACAAAAGCATTTAAGAATACAGCTGATTCTCATTTTGAACTGCCAAGATAAAAAACTTGAACTTCAGAATATCACAGAGAAGACATTTATTTTTATTCCCAAATCTGATATCTTCAGCATGAAATCAAGATACAAGTGCAACATTTTGGAGGGGGTTTTGGAATCTCACTGTACTTATAGATACACTATTTTTTAATTTGACTGATCACCTGTTTCAATTAGATTAAAAAAAAGTATTTTTACAGTTGAAATGGAATGTTTTTCCAGTAGTCTTCTAGTTGTCCAAGCTATTAAAAATGTGATTAAGAACAAACATATTTGTGATATATTTGAACTCAGTTAACTAATTTTACAAAATCATTATCACTTATGTTACCGAATTAATTTTTCCAGTATCTCCGCAGCTATTATTTTAAATAGCTCAACAGAATTAAAAAGATGCCATTTCACCTGTTCTATAAGTCAACTGTTTCCCTTTAATTACTTCAGAGCAATTTGTTAGAATCTTTCCAATTTTTCCTTTACTAGTTATTTGATTTCTGTTCTGCAATTCCATGTGCTGTCAGGTGGGGCACTTCAGCTAATTGTGTACAGTCTACATGGAGTGACCCAAAAAGAAAATATCTTCTTTTAAAATAAAGCCTCAGGCAACCCTACTGCTGGTCTCAAGACCAGGCATGCAGCAAGCAGACCTGGCTGTCACGAGTCAGTCCATCACTTACACAGATCCAAAAGCAGAGGTGCTGCTGAGGGGGCGGATAGCAAATAATCGCAGCAATCTCCCTGCCTCTCATTTTAATTAACTGTTACTATCCCATCCCCTAAAACAGATTTCTGCTGCCCATACCCTAGCCCTAACCTGTACTAGAAATTATTACTGCTACTACAAAGTAAGTATTTTGTTTACAAGTACTAAGTGCAAGATTGCACACATTTTCACAGGGCATTTCATTTTTCAGACACGGTGGTGTATTCTGTCAGAAACACAACAGTAAAGTATGGCAAGGACGGGAGGCAGGCCTTGCAGCTTTCCTCACTGGGGTCTTTTCTGAGGAAAACCTCTACTGACCTTTCCGTGCCCACTGGGTGGCACTGCAAGCAGGCCCAAGTTACTTAGGTGTTACAGGGAATTTAGTTTCTGCAGAATTTTTTTTTTTTTTTGTAAATTTATCTCTAAAAAGTCTTATATGAAGCTACAGCTTCCTTGTGCAGAAATGCTTATGAGAAAATGGAGCCAGATACTGAACTACTGCTACCTATTCCAGCCCCTCCAGTGATGACACTAAGTATTTTCTAGTAAGTTTCCCATGGTTCAAAGACAACATTGACATGAAGCAGAGGTTATTTCCACTAGCATTTTTACTGTGGTTTAAACTTTAATCACAGTAGTAACACTGAACTTTAGAATTTATAGATACTTGGATACATGCTGATTCAACATGTTGTATCTAACACTTACCTGAAGCAGATCTCAACACTCATATTATTACAATTTGAGCAACATCCCTCCCCAACAACACTGTTGTGTTTTTTTTTTTTTGGTGTGTTTGTGTGGTTTTTTTGTGTGCTTGGGGTTTTTTTTGTTTTGTTTGTTTGTTTTTACAACATTTTCCTTCCTGCAGAGGAAGGAATATACTGTTAAAGAGTTCTTAATGTAGGGGGAAAAAAAAAAATGCAAACAATACTCCTCCTCCACCCCCAACAAAACAAAAAAATCCCAAAGCAAACCAACACAAAACCACACACACACACTTTTTCTACAATCTAAATATGAAGGAATCGGGCAAGCTGATGGTTATCATTACCAAACAGTTATACAAGCAGACGGTCAATACAAGTTACAGAAGTGTGGGAGAAGACAGGTAAACACACTTGCAGTTACACCAAAGAGAATTCGGTGCTGCCATAACCAAAATGCTTTCCATTTCTTGGCTGGCAATTCACTGTTGATTTAAGTTAGCAGGGCTGTAGCTGTGAAGGCAGCACAGATAACCCTTAAGTAAATGTCTCAGATATGAGAAAACAGGGCTTGAGTTCATGTGTGAAAGACTGCAACAACATGTACAGCTAATTGATGCCATATTCAGTCCAATAATGTGGCACAGGTAATTTTTTCTTGCTTCCTGGCACTGCGAGTCATCCTGCACATTCCAATGGAATGCCTTCTTCCAGAATCCAAGTTAACTCATCTAAACATACTTGGATATTCACAGTAGTGTCGACATATTTTTAAATGTCAAGTCAGAAGACAGAACTTAGGATCCTAAAAGTCTTCTAGTTTATTTATAGCAATAATACATTCAGTAGACAACACTGCAGGCATTCTAAGAAAAAGGTATTTTGGTACCAATACAAAGTACTAAATGGAAAAAAAAAATAGCACCTTATTTAGGGTTGGATGAAACATACCTGCTCTTGCACTTGTAATGAAGTTTTTTGTTCTGAAGGCTCTGTACTTTCTGGCTTTGGAGGATTTGCATTTTGTTGCATTCCAGAACTCGATATAATACTTAAGTCACTAATCTGATTCTGGAGGTGGGGGGAGGGAAAAAAAAAGATAAAAATTAACACAAATACATGAGTTTAAGTCTACATTTGCCCACTACTACAATCCTGTTTACATGGCTCTTTGACTGAAATACAGATGATGTACAGAGTACCGATTTTTGTAAGACACTGAGGAATTCACAAATTTTAGGAAATAAAAATCATATCAAAACATCCACCGTCTGGTATGTAGTCATGAAGCTTTTACTTGTTATGAGAGAGAGAGAGAGAGAGAGAGAGAGAGAGAGAGAGAGAAGTGGCTTCATACCTTTTTCACCAAGAAAATTATTAAAAAAAAAAGGCAGGCTTTTCACATTCTTTATCTGTGTTAGCTGCTAACGACGAAGTTTGCTATACTTCATTAAACCAAGAACCCAAACTAGAAGCAGCTTAGAAGAAAAATCCTGTCAGAAATCATTCTAAGTGGTTGGAAAGAGAGCTTGTCAGCAGCTTATTTCCACCAGATTTAATTAGCCATGCCATATATTTTGAGAAGGTGTTAATTTGATTTTCTGTGAACAAGACAAAACCAGACAAGCGAGTTGCATTATAACAGACAGTATATGTTTACAGACTGAGTTGACTTTCATCTTCAATAAATATATACATAAATGAATATAGAAATTGTATGACAGTTTAAATCATCAGTGAAAAAAACCAAACTGTAGAAGAGTCTAGCTTTCAATAAGTAAACTACACCTTATGCATATGATATAGCTGAACATTAGCACAACACGTGATGATTGCTCTGGTGACTTACCTACAGCAGCAAAATATGGGTTCAACTTTTTAGAAACTTTTTAACTTAAAACAATCTGAGCTTTATTATTCTTTTGTTTTCAATTTCTAATTGAAAGTAATAAATACAAAATCAAGACTATGTACTGTGATTTAGGGACAGAAGCAAGAAGCAACTTCTCTCATCCTTCCAACTTTTAGCTACTAACTTGAAGGTCAAAACTCTTTGTGCCTGAAACGCTGTATGCCTTGTGGTTACAAAAATCAGATAAAGCATGGTTTTCTCTTCTCTAGAGAATGAGCTGCAGTATGTTTCCATGCTCATACTGAAACACACACAAAACACTGCACTAAAAAAAGCATCCATTCACTTCATAAAAAAAACCACCTCAGAATTCATTCATTTTCACATATGGACTTGATGTAGTGAGTACTTCAAGGATTAAGCTGATTTGGAATCCTAGATTAAATCACTCAGACCTTCATAAATCTCTCTTTCACTCTCTCTGCCCCCTTCTCATGCTGACACTCTGCCAATCTCATGTGCGCTGCACACAAGGATTACTGTATGATCCATCTGGAATATACCAGGCAGATAAGTACTTTCTGCCCCTAAATACAAATTCATGCATAATTACTGTGTGTCATAAAATAATTTTTAAAAAAAATTAAGACAGGAAAGGTCTCTCTAAAAGCCACCTTCAAAACCAGTTGGTTACTTAATCATGTTAACATTGACATACCTTGGCTACAAGGAGTTCCAAAATTAACGTGCCAGAAGTTTGTTGCTAAAGCTGAGGTGGTCAACAGAACATTCTCCAAAGAAGTTTGCTTGAAATGTGACCAACATTTCTCAATTCTGTTTATCTGGCAACTTCTACATAACAATTATAGCGGGCTACGGGACTATGTTGAACAGATTCAGTTTACAGTTCACACACACAAAAAGGAAACCAATTATTCTAGTTTCACTCGTTTTCTAAAAGCATCAAGAAATACACCCCTCCACCACCACCACCAAATCAAGATCAAGACACAAAAACCCCAATTATGTCATAGCTCTACCATAGTCCACGCCCTGCATATTTCCTTATTGTATTACAGGCACCACAAATGTCAACTGTCTACCACAAAATCTGCAGACCACTGCCTGTTTTTCAGTACTTTACTTGTCTACAGAGCTTCATCCATGATGCTTGGGAACTTTGTTTCTAGAAAAAGCTTTTCAGTACTCTTACACGAAAAAGATCTGAAAATTAGGAGAGGAGTAATTCTTAAGATCCCTCTGTTGGAAATGTATATTATCCAATACTGCAAGGACAAAGAGGGAGAAAGGCTTCATCACCACCCTAAGAGGGCACCACCAAAACAGTGAGTTCTTGTGGTATGTGTTTTTTTGTTTTGCTTTTTCTTCCCAAAAAGCCTTGAATTTCTTCAAATCCATCTCAACTGATACAACATTGAAAGATGAGTCATTCGGATTTTGAGGTTTCTTTTGTGCTCTCACAAAAGCTTCTAATTACACAATGCTGGCCTTCATACAAAGACACCTTCTCCCCAAACAGCACTGATGCTCAGAGAATCAGAAACAATTTTTTTTTTAATCTGTATTTAAAGCATTGAAAAAAACACATTACTGATTTTCAGAAACTAGTATCTAGCCTGGGTCAAATATACTGCATGGTTTGTCCCCTTCTGACATAGATTGAGGGCAGGTGAAAGTGACAAATTAAGTTGGCTCATATATGGCTTAATTCACATGTTCATTCTTTTCTCCTCATCCCACATTGTACTGTAACAATCTAGAATCCTACAAAGACTCAAATTCCAAGTACTCAAAGGAACTGTGCTGCACAAGCAACTCTGGGAAGGAATCAAGCACTGTACTAATGTGCTAACTCTTCTCCCACCAGTACGGCCACAAAAACAATGTTATACATTACTTTACTATTGCACATTCTTGCATTATTATACTTGGAGAGAGGTGTGTTCAGAATCTTTGTTTTCTTTTTTGGATGTCCTACATATTCCCCTTATATTTGTCCTGCATGTACGAATTTGGTCCTCAGGAGTACATAAAATAATTCTTTCCTAAGAGAACTAATATTGTCCTTCATCATGTGAACTTGTGAATTCAGCACTGGCAAAAGATACCAGACTCATCCTTCTAAAATCAATTAATTTATTAGACACATAGCCACACAGACAGGACAGAAGTAGTAAACTGGGGAACAGAAGGATAGGGGAACAGTATTGTTATACTTATTCTACAGCTATTAAAAATATGCTTCATAGAGTCTGTACTGAATGACTAAATCTCTAATACCACAAGACGTCTTTTGAGACTAAGAAGAGACAGATGCTGCTGGGTACAATTTTTACTTGCTATTCCCAGAGACAAAATTTTCTCACAGCAGGAGAAATCGTTGCAAAATACGTCTATCAAGCTACATTTCAAGTTGGATCACATGATCAGTATTCAACCTATCTTGCCTGAATTCAGAGACTCTCTCCTAGTATAGCGTACTTGAGGGAGGGAACAAGACATCAGTCTGAAAACAAAGCTGCTGAAACAATGGCAGAGAATGCTTGCTCTTTAAACAAAACACTGCTGATGTGTTAAAAACTAGATTCCAGATAGGCTTTCTTAAAAATGAAAAATAATGAAAAATTAGGCAAAATGCTGCCCATTAAGGTAATAATTACAGAAATAAAACACGAATTCTTGCCACATGCAAGACAAATTTTTCCTCACACCACCCCTTCTCTCTAAGTCATTGTACATCTGTGCTTGTATCAGAACCATGGGATAGTTCACAAAATTTCTGGGCTTCCGTTACATTATTCAACATGCCAAAGCCTTTTAGCGTTCAGCTCAATGAATGCTCTTGATTATGGCATGAATCATAGCAGATCTCCTCCACTGACTTTCAGTACACAGAAAAAACCTGAAAAACCAAAGTATCAGCCACTAAAAGGAATATTTACAATAATGGAACTTCAAGATCACAAAACAGACCTGTTCAGTGGTACCACCTTCTACAGCGTTTACATATATACCTATTTGTTCATGTTTCCTTTGACAATGATCTCACAAAACAAGACAGTAGATGAGTACTGAGATTAAGCAGCCCATGCAGATGTTTTAGAAATATATTTTGTTGTGTCTGCGTCTCCAGGTATCTGTTTTTGAAATTGTATTTCCCACCCCCTCAGAAGCTAGCAATTCAAACATAAGAATATACAGGCCCATTAAATTATGGATTAGTGGCACTACTTTGCAATTTTGGGTTACAGTGTATTGCACAGGCCAATTTAGTATGTAAGAATTACTCTCTATCATCTCTCTCTCAGAAATCACAGGGCATGCTGTTTTAGTGGACTCCATATGATGCCTTAAGCCCCTTATTCAGAAGTACTGTTTTTATTTGTTCATAAATTAGGGAAGAAAAAAGAAAAAAAAAAAAAAAAAAAGACAAAGACATTTCCTTACTCGTTCATATTCATCCTTAGCTTTACTAAGCATTTCCAGGATGTCAATGGTCCTGTTTTCATTGCAGTCATTGGTTCTGCTGGGACTTTTTCTGTCCTGGGAAACCTGCTGCGATCTCTGAGCTTCTTGTTCTACCACTCTGTAACAGGGAAGGAGAAACAGATTTTAAAATTTTATCTAGAGTTAACATCTTGCAAAAAGAATTAAAGAAAAATGTACTCCCAGCAAATTAACACATTTTGTTCTGCCTGAATAAAAACCTAAAACACATGGTTGACCAAAGTTACACAAATTTTCATTTGCTACAAGGTTTATACAAGTCAAATTGTCAAATGGTCTGTACGATTTATCTCCAATCCAAACAGCACTGGTCTGCCTACAGTAAACACTACTTCTGTACAACTGACATGTTTAGATATTTTTACAATAAAGTATGTGGACATCCAAGCACGTGATATACAAAGAGCATATGCATTATACCATAGACTGAGTAAAATACATTTTTTACTCTTTACTTCCTAACATGATTTTTTCCCATGTTTAGCCAAACCAAGCCTTCTTATTCAACAAAATCAATTACAAAAAAGTTCTAATTTAGGATGAGGCCTACTATTATACAACAAAACAAAGACAGTCGGAAAGAAGAGAGCTGGCTCATACCAGATGTTGCTGGAGTCAGTCTGCAAAGAGGCATACAGCAAGTTACCCCTTACTCCCCCACTTAAGGCTCTGGAAAGAATGGCAAACCATTGTCTTCTCTAGCTGCCCTGTAGTCATTTCAATTACCTGCAGGACTACAACATGTCTTTTCCTCTGGCCTTTGGTGCCTATGGTTCTTTCACCACTTCTACTCCACCCCTACCCACCTCAAGTACCCAAAAAAATTTCAGTTTAAAAGATGGTTATTATATGGAAGAAGATATGTACCTGGCACCTTTCATTAATAAAAGCAAAGGTAGCATATACTTCTACTCCTAATCCATAAGCAGTTCACAAGACATACATGGCTGTGCAACATGCTAAAGCTTATCCTCTTGAAATAAACACACACCAGCCTGTAATCCCTTCTTTTTTAAGCCTACATTAATCAAATACGTTAAGAAAAAACAAGTGCTGTAAACAGGGCAGAGCTCTGGAACTGGCATGTCACTTGAGAACTCTCATGCTGTGGAACTGATGGCTGATGGGAGAGCCAAGAGGTGCCATCACAACAATCACAGAAAACGTCAATCATTCCAGCCTCCAGTTTCTTTGGGTCAGTTAGGATTCAGGACAAACTCTACATTGTAAAGACTGTAATTACATATTTATATGCACCTCTATGTTGCCATTTCTGAGGGGGGAAAAAAATAGTTCAAGTCTTTGAAGTTTCTTTCCAGTTTTCTAGCAACCAAACTTTTTTACTGCACTGGAGTTTAGCTGTGTTTATTTGAGAAGGGTTAGATTTGGCATTTAACAATTCAATGTTGCCTTCAAAATTACTTTGAAAATTTTTAATCATACAAGCAGCTTATTTAACCAGCTTCTAGTTATTAGTACAGCTTTCTCTGTAAGCAAGCATTCACCTGTAAACGTAACTCAGAATAGGGAGGCCAATCTACACTCTGTCTGACAATTTCTAAGAACTGCAGCATTTGCTTGTTTGGATGAAGCAGCTCAATACTGTACAAATGTTTCTATGGTGACACCCTGAGAGAACATTTTGTTCTAGCACCCCACATGGTCATACAGTCCTGACTTAGGACCTGCCTAAACGCAACTCCAAAACTAGGGATGAGAAAGGGCAAGGTAAAAGAACCGGAATACTTTGCTGAGATTTTAAGTGTCAGCATAATTGTGTCAGAAAAAAATAAATACTTCAGTTAAAGGGAAAATTCTGGACAGCTGAAGTTATGCACATGCTGCCTGATAGATGAAGTAAAAGCTTCACTCTTGAGAACCTAGTTGGACCAGAAGGTTTCAGTAAAACATCTTCCCATTAAAACAGTACTAATTGGCTTCACAGCAAAACATCTTCAAGGAGTGCCTCCATTTCACAGAAGCGTTTCACAAAGATTTTTGAAAAACATTTAGTAATATTTTTCTATTGTCCGTTATAATGTGTTTGTTACCTTTTTAAACTTTACTTTTTTTTGAAGAATAACAAATTATCTTCTCATACAGGTAATTGTCTAATAGCTCTTCTTCCATCTTCTGACTTGTGCGGGTTACATTCAGATCGTGGTGATGGGGTAAATATGAAACAGTATGCCCCCAAAACTCTCTCAGACACTCTGCCACTTCAAGCTTGCTGCCTGAATCTCAGAAACCAGTTTGGGTCTGACTGCTGAAACAGGGTTAGGCCAGCTTATAAACTAACCTAAAAATAAAAAACCCTACAAATTTATATGTCAGAACGCAGCAGTTTCACAAAGATTTGAGAAACCCTAGTTTGTGTCCTACTTCTTCTAGAAAGTTCATCCCTCAAGCAATCATCTTGATTTAACTTGACTCAAATTAATTCCTTCTAAACTTAAGAGTTTGAGGACTCCCAGAAAATTTTTTCATTTCAGAAAATTCTAAAATTCATTTTAAAAAAAGGACAAAAGTTCTATAAATCAAATACCTTTGCTGGGGAAAAAAAAAAAAGTCAACTAGTGGAAATCTGTACACTGAGCATGCTCTGTATGCAATCCAGATTAAATCTTTTTTAAGCAAGGCCTGCTGTTTCTTTCCATTATATCAGATAGCGGACGAGGCACACATTCCTTCGGGGACAGAGTAGCTACTGTGACAGTTTGTTTAAAGATATCTGCAGTTATAGCATTGAAAATATACCTGGCACAACCTCACAGGGTGGGGGGGCAGGCAGCAGGGAGAGAGAGAGAGAACGTGAGAAGTGAAGGCAATGATTACAAAGCCTACAAACACTAATTTAGTTTTCTTTTGAAAGATAAGCCACCAAAATATAAATGGATGGCCTGCAATCTTGTTAAGTCAGTCTGGCACAATAAGGTCAAGTCAAACAGCAAGAAAGAGAATGCAAATCTCCTTGAAACCTTTTATGGTTATGTCTTTGAAGCTCTAAGATACTCTAAAGGCAGTACCCTTTCCCATCAGTGACAAAAAAGCCTCACTTAAACTAAAGGGTGTAAATCCACATTTCCACCCAAGACAAAGACAAAAAAACTGTAGGACAAAATTAATACTCTTAGAAGACAATGTAAATATTTATTTCAAAATATACTGAACAAAGTCTGATAGAATCTGCTACCATGTGCTAAAATGCAGTCTTCCTTCTCTAAGATTCAGGTGTGTGTTTTTTTTTTTTTTTTAAAAGAGTGCATTTTAAACTTTTCTTAAATACACCTTTCATCCCAGGATGAAATAATTCCTGCAGTTTCAGCCTCCTTCGTATAGAGAAGCACACAGAAGTATCAGCATTTTTACTTTTCTTCCGACTGCCTTCAGCCCATTTTGGGGGAGAGAAAGCTTGATGTTTGTGGAAACAGATGTCAGCAAAATACTACCAATCCGCTTTTCATTAAGTTGTAACAACAGTCTCAGAAGTGCAGCTTTTCCATCCTACAGTAACGTGCAACTAGAATGCCTTCCTTTCGTTTTCCCTAATATGAATCTTTAGCTACTCAGAAGCTATAAGGCATTTGGTACCAAATGAAGCGTGATTTTATTAAACAGTGCTTTTGCAACAAATATAAGTAAATATACTTACACTAAATACATTTCTCAGTATAGACATGGCTTCTCCCAATACTTTTGTTATCCCCAAACCAACAGACAATTTTAAAGGGAAAAAGAACTAGAAGTATTCAGACATTCCATAATCTAATAATGAAGAAACACTTTATGACAAAAGGCACTCAGGTAATTAAAGACTTAGCATTAGTGAAAGCTTACTAGCAGCACTTAGGCTAGCAAAGATCACTTACACCTTTTTTGACCAAGTTAATGGCAGCAAACACTAAAAAAGTCATACTAAAGTGAGGTCCTAGCCAGCTCAGCAAAATTTAACTGTCTGTATTCTGTCAATATCCAACCAATAATCTTTTTATGTACACATTTGATGATTTCTCTAGATCCACTTGCCTAAGTTTGAAGTGACAAAGCTCAATACATGTTCCCCAAAGCCTACTTGATGCCTTAATTTCAGTTTCAGAAGTTTCAGAAATGCACGGATTTCAGTTCAAAGATACTTTTAATCCACAATCATTCCAACATCTACCACAAAAAAATCCAACATTTAAAAAATACATTTCAGCTTTTCGACCTTCCAAAATAATTTGTAATCTCAGAAACTTTCTAGGGTGCTGAGATGCTACAGTCACAAGAGCCTGTGAGTATCTGCACCCTAAACACAGGTGAAGCAATAACGCCAACTTTGGCACATTCTGCCTCTGTATGTCAATAAAGCTGCAATACAGGCATCAGGGACCCAAGAACAGGCAGGCTACAGTAGTTTACAAAGGAGATGACGATAAAGCTTAGACTATTCCCAGACTGACTTCAAATGAACCTGCTGGGTTACAGTTATTTCCAGAATATTACAGAACCCAGCAAAAACGGTAGATGTGCTTTGTGGACTGCTGTGCTACGGCTAGACTGCTCTGTTACCTGATTACACTTTTAAAGATCCCAGAAGTATCTATAGCCCATGATTTGTGCTACAATGACAAGATTAGTTCCATACCAAATGAACTCAAGTTTTGCTATATGACACTTAGACCTGCAGTGTAGCTGTGCATGACAGAATAAGAATATGGTAGAGTTTGAAGGATTCAGCTCTCTCTCCCACCTCAAACATTAATCATGGTTTTAAATTAAAAGGTGAATTAAAAAGAGAAAGCCATGCCCTTCTGACCTTCTGTTTATAAAGAAGAGAGCAATAGACATTTTGTTATTTGTTTTGGTAACAATTTTTGAGAGTCAGTTTCACATAATTGTTTTTGATTAACCTTTATAATTAATCCTTATATTTGGACAAGCCAAAAAACAGCAAAAAGTCCAACACAGGTGGGAAGGAAAAAAAAAACAAACCACCAAAACCCAAAAATCCAACCCAAAACAGAAGTGGGAAATGGTATAGGGTTACCAGGATGAAAGAAAAAAATAAGAATTTAGGAAGAGATCTTGATATCAAAGTCTGTCATTTGTGTTGCCTTACATTGCTTCTGTGGGGAAAACTTCTGTGAGGAAAAGCCAAAATAACCGAAAACAAAAACCCCAGACCAAGAAATTAGAATTCAGCTTAAAATGTCTACACTATGGCTAGTTTCCATACAATTAAAATTTGCCAGTCTTCAAGATGTCCTGACCTGCAAGACACAACACGCTGATTAAGGCATGCAACAGAAAAGAAAGTTCAGGAAAGCAGCATGATAATGAAGAAAGGCAAAGCAGAGAACAATGGATAAGAAGATATCCTGTGCAGTACATCTGCATTTTGCAATTTTTAGTTTTTGCTAGGGTAACTATCCTGTCACACCATTCAGGCTCCTTCCTTTCAAAAGGACACTGAAGATTCGATTTGCTTAGGTTAATTCTCACCCTTTTCTATCAGTAAAAAGTCTTGGCTTAACCCACAAGGAACCCCATCTGAAGAGCAGAAAGGTGCAAGAATACCCTGCAATCACCACAGGTTTTAAAGACTTTATGCCACACTGCCAACTCAACCAGTTCCAGCCTTCTTTGACCTCTGCTGTTCACTCAAACTTCTGTACTCCAGTCTGAAGCCCTCCTCAGCTGTGGCAGTGCAACCATCTACAGTACAGATAGACTAACTGCACTGCTACAGTGACAGCAGCTTAACTAACAAATCCACATTACTGCAGGTTTCTTTACACTGAGATCACTTCAGAAATTCTCCTGCTGCATGACTTCTCTAGGAGCCCTTGGAACTACAAAATAACAGCAAGTGACATGGCAGCTTTATAAACCAACTTTATCTCCAGTGGGGGAATAAATAAATCAAACAGTCCAGAATGCAGCAACAAGCTCCTATTATTTCATAGTTTTGCTTACTCTCCTAACATCACTTTAATTCTATAAGATCCCACTTACTTCTCCCATTATTCTCCAATCTCTTCACTTTAGTCAGGAATAATAATTAAGCCTTAAAAAAACCAACCAAACCAACCACAAACAAACAAAAAAACCCCACAAACCCAAACTAAAACAGCCCACCATCAAACAAACCACAAAACCAACCCCAAAAATGTGGCCATCATTTATTTGATTACAATTTCTGCATCAGAGGATCTTCTACTTTGTACAGCGATGCTCGCAAAATATAAAATAATGAACAGTGTTCATACTTGCTTTCTTTGGAGAATGCCAACTAATACTTCAACTGATTTTTTTACCACTTAATTGAAAATTTTAATGCTGCAGTTTTTTTTAAAAACCAAAACCAACCTTTTGATTACTAAAAAACCTGGTAGCAGCAAGAACACTGTATTTTTCTATTTAAGGAGAATGAGAAAAAAACAAAACACATTTAATAGGTTCAATTTTTTTTCTTCTATATTGCATAAAAGAATTATAGAATAATAAGAGCATGGTACTTACTTAGCCATGAGTTTTGCTATTCGATGACAGTCATTCTTGTCATAAAACCAGATACTGTAAATTGACACTTGAAAATAAGGAGACAAAAAAAAGCACGTCAGACAAAGGTTTACCAAAAAAGAAATCAAACCAATAGGAAAAAAGCAAAACACCAGTCCCTCACATCTGCAACACACGAATTACCATCAATTTCCACTCAAATATTCTGTGTGACCGACTACGACTTATAATCAGAAATAGCACATGTGCAAACACAAATACAACTTCAGTCAGATTAAAGGCAAGAACTACAAAATGTTGATCCTGTTTGTAAATAAAAGTGCAGGAAAATGAACTTTTAACTACCAGATGCCTTCTCACTACAGTTCCAACCTTCTGTTTTGAATTACTGACTTTACCATTTAAAACAAGGCTAAAGAATATCCTTTTTTTTTTTAAACACTCATTTTTAAATTTGTCAATTTTTGAAGCTCAACAAAAATATTACAGTTCGAATTACAGTATGACAGTTCAGTCAGAGGCTCTCTGGAAGGTGCCCTCTCCAAATTCTTTTCGTAAGAGAAGTAATTGTATAGGAAGGAAGCAGTACCAAAGCTCCAACCCCTATGGTCATACTCATGGAGCAGCTTAAAACTAGATTCATACTGAACCTTACTCTTTGAAGGTAGCAAAGACAAACCAATGAGGGCAAAAGGGTTCCAGCTCAGCAAGATGCTAAGCCCCATTCGGGCTTTCAGAATAAGTAAAATTCCACTGAAAGTTGGCAGAGTTGAAGCCTGATCACTGAGCTGAAAGATACTCCATCAGAGGGGGAAACTTCGTCAGTAGCACCATGCACTACTTCTTCATCAGCAGACCCACTTCAAAGGGGCCATTTTTATCCATGCACATACTCATCTCCTCACTGTCTCCACAGTTGTGCCAACACAACAAATCTGCAGAACTCTTTTCATAATTGTATTTAATCCAACCCACAAAGCAAATTATTTTGAATCTCTGTTTACATATGAAGTTTGTCAATGTATACCGTGCAAGTACAAAGGCAATTGGACACTTTGTTATCTGTTACCATGAAAATATTTTCATTTCTCAAAAGACACTTTTAGCCTTTTAAAACTCATCTTTATACTGCAGTTCACACCAATGTTTTTATGAAGCTGAAATCACTAACTGATAATAAAAATATGACTTAAAATGAAGGAATATACAACCTTTTCCAGCCAGATGTAGATTTTTATTTCAAAGTGACATTCTTCCTGCCCTCCCCCCGCCACCCCACAAAAAAAAACTGTTTTTCCTCCTCAAAACCCTCAAAAATCTCAACCAAAGCCCACTCAAAATTATTTCAAGCTATGGAAAAGAGGGCAATTATTTACCAAACTTTTTTTCTAGACCTTCCAGTTATCCTAGGCTTACTATGTTGGACCAAAACCCTCAAAAAGTCATGCCCACACCTCATTTCTATAACAGTGTCGTAAGACAAACTTAAGTTCTACTTTGCTTATTATTTTTTTTTTTAATTTTATTAACAACTATATTCATTTGGGTGTTTGTTTCCTTAGAAGTTACAGCTTGAGTAATAGACAACAAAGCTTTTCAAGTCACAAAGAAAGAAATCAATACAGCACAATTTAAGAAACCTTCTTCTTACATAAGCTAATTAAAAAAAATTTCATCTATGTAGCCAATGCTTATGAAATATTTACTAACATTTACAGCTTAATACAACTGGATTGTCTACTGCATAGAAACCTGAAAATGTTTCCAGTTTGAGCTACTTCTTTAGTCATGCAGCATACTTTTAACACTGAAGGAAAGAAAAAAACCCTGACTTCAGTATCAGACAAACTGCCAAGAGAAGAAAGCTTCAAAAGCATACTTGCTGAAGAAATGAAGATAAGGAACCTATAATGATATCTTAATGGGACAAATGATAACAGTCACGCTCAGTTCTGCCAGAAACAGGCCTACGCAAGACCAGAAGTAGATCCAAATCGCACTTTGCTGTAGAGAGTTATCAGGCTTTTTTCTACTTTGTACTACTGGCAAGCAATCATAGAGAGTCACTACAAAACATTATTACAAAGATGTAGAGCAGATTATGAACAAGTAAACTTGGGTATTAACCTAGATACGGTCCAACAGGCTGGAATGTTTACCTTCCTCTTTTCAAAAGAGGACTCATTTATACTATCAGTTCAGCTCTTGCCCTAGAAGTATGTGTGTGTATCCCAACTGCATTACTATATTTATTTCTTACATGCATGCAACTTCAGCTATGAACATCCTTTTATCACAAACAGTTAGTACTTACCAGTTCTTTTCAAATCTGTGATCTTTTTACTACATCAGCATAAACATTAGCTGAACATTCATATGTCTAATGGCATATCTTTCTACTGCAGTTCTTAACAGCTTCATCCAACAGAAGTCACTAAATTAAGTGACTCCTTTTTCCATCTAGTTCAATGCTTTCTATCCAGCTTTTCTACACTGAATGCTGGGCAGCATCTTCAGTAATCCAGCAGAAACAGTTTGTAATCATCATCAGCAATATCTTTCAGTTGGATTCACACTACATTCTGACACACACAAAGTTATGAGTAACCCATATCAGACAAGTCAGATTTCATAAAATTAAAAGAAGTCATCAGTTATCTTCCTCTACATTCTTCTGACATACATCACTTTTATTAGAAACACTGACCCACAAATATTTATCTAAACACATAACATGCAGCTTCTCTCCAAACTTGACTGGATCAATTGTTAAAACTTGATTGAAACTGCTATGGGAAAACGAAGAGATTTTGCGAAAACAGAAGCATTATGAAAATCTTCCTGCTCAAGCCTAACAGCTGGATGACACCAAAAGGAAAGTCTTGGTCTCTTCTACATTGTACTCCCATTGCTTCACGGAGCAGCCACCCTACTGTTCCAATGCTGCCCAGTTAGCAGATCTGAATTAAGAGCAGGGATAGCAAGTGTGCAAGTGAGACAGAGACCTCACTCTTTGGCAACATCAAATGAAGTTGCATACCAAAGCTGTAGTTTCACTTCAGTTCTCATTTTAGGTAAGCAGAAAGAAGCAGTGTTACCAGCCTTACATTCCCACAACTTTGCTGTTAACTCATTCTACCCAATTTCACCCTTTTCCCTTATGTCAGCTGGATACATTTTAGTCCAGACCAGTTCCTTGATACTGTTTGCCCATTAGCTTCACAAACATGCCATCTAGCACAAGAGAGAGGACAGAAACAAGAAGCTGGGGGCAGCACAGTAACACACAACTGTCAAAACGTGCATGAAACTGTAGCCTGAGAATGCTATGCCCGACAAAGTGTGCATCAGCATTGCCAGTTTCAGAGATTCCAGACATTATCACTCTCTTGCCTTCGGCAGTTTAGCCATTTGTGCAGATATAGCTTCATCTCATTTAAAAAGATGATATGTTTAAAAGTTACCTCAACGAGTTGGAAGAGCTGACAGGAGAGAGAAAAAAGTTTTATTTTACAGTTCCAATTTAGACATTGCTATACAATGAGGCAGAACATCTGGAAGTGGAGGACAATAACCTTTCAAACACTTTCTGGAAAGAAAGAACTCATATTTTGAAATCCACCCTATAAGGTAATAATGGAGATCAACTTAACCCAATCTCACACCCATAAAGAAAAGCATATATATGCATCATTTGCATATGGTATATGCATCATTTTTACACTTCAAATAGAGTTTAAGGCAAAAGCACATAAAACAATCTTTCTCAAAGCTCCTATTTCTTCCAGTAGCAAGGTTAGCTGAAATGTCACCTCTCCTCAGTTAAATCTGCTCTACCATCTTCTTCACTGAGATTCCTCATCCACTATTCATATTTTCCGCAGTTTAAATATGAGTCTGCCACACAGATTTATAAATAATCAGAATAATTAAAAGAATCCCTCCTTTTCTTATTGAAAATCTAAGGCCATTTCACAAATACAGTTCACAGCACAATCCCACAGTACAACACCAGTTGCACTGGAGTAATTCAGCAGGTGGCAAGTAGCATTCAAGATCAGGAACACTTTAACAAACTGCCATCTGACAAAGTGGAGCTTGGAGTGAGAGGGATTACTACTTCTCAACATTGAAGCAGAGCGGAAAACTTCCAGTTAGAGTGCCATCTTTCAGGTCAAACAAAATATTTTTAGAACTTAACAGCTTTCAATGGTTCCTCCCCTCCCCCTAGCTTGTACTGCTGCTTCTGCTATAATACTATCAAGAACAGGCTCCTTTCTTATCTCAGACTAAACCACTGGGTTAATGCGCTTGCTGGAGAGCCATTCAGCTCCAGCAGTCACAGAGATATGTTATACTTAATGCATTGCCAGTTGGGAACAAAGGTGATAATGAGAGACTTTCCTTACTAGTAAATATGCCCTGTTTTGAAACCAGTCAGGAGCTCTTCCAAAGCATTTTAAAAGCAATTCAAAACAATGCAACTCATTTTACTTTTGCTGTTATGAATACAAGTTCGTTGAACTAACGATAATAAAATAAAGCCAGAAGATAGCACTTTGTAACTGAGTTTTCCACTTTAAATGTATAAACCTCTCCACAATCCATTGTTTTTGTTTTACTTTTACCCTCAGACAGGAATAAGAAGCAAGCAAGCCAAAAAAAACCCAACTAAACCACACCAAAACCCAAAAAACCCATGCCAAACAAGGACCATTTATTTTAATGCCCAATTTTTATGCTTAGCATCTGTCTTTACAGCATGGAAATCCATCTGCCTGATCTCCCAAGTGAACTAACTTGGATTAAAAGGTCTTTTAATCAAGACCAACACCACTGATACAGAGGGAAAGTTATAAACGAGAAAGACTTAGAAGAATACTTCTTGCAGTCTTTGAGAGGTAAGTCGGCCATTGCGTGAAACTTCGACTAATTTTCCTCTATTATTAAGCAAACTATCAACTATCAGCTCCAAATTCTCACATTACAGAAAGAAAGTACTGAGCTTGCACATTGGACTATTATTACTGTTACTGGCAGAACTGTATGCATTTTACTAGACAGAACTTAACATACTTTTCACAAAATACAGACAAGAGGAAAGCAGCTTAGGTTCACTTCAAAAAATAGGTCAATGGGATTCAATGCTTCATGAACAAATACTCTGAATACTCTAAAGAATGTGCATGCATCCAGAGGGGAAGTTAGACAGGGATCCAATGTACTCAGCAACACATATTCCAGATCAAGCAATAATAAATAGTACACTAAGTATGAAGTATAATCTAAGAAATTCTACCTTTTAAGATGAATTCTAAATTAAAAACGTTACATTAAGTCAAACAATTTCTTTTCATTTTGGTAATCTCTTAATTTGTTCATATTTGGATGCATTTGCTTTCTTGAACTCTCTCTAACAATGAAAAGTAGAATACCTTCTTTTCTATTTACCACGGTAACTAGTATAATGTCTCACAGCTTCTTAGTCACACTCCCTATCATTTTTGCTTTAGGATCTGATGCCTCATGAATAAATGGTGTAAGTTTTCAGGCAGCATTATATACAACTTTTAAAGCAGACATAAACCCAAAATTTTGGGAAAGGGTAAATATTCTTTTAGGGCTTGAACCGTATTATGTAGCCAGAATGTTTTTGAGAAAAAAAAAAAAATCTGGAGTTGGGAACGATTTCCCCAGTAACGGCTAAAATATTAAAAAGGTATTATTTTCGGGGGTGTAGAGGGGGAAAGCCTCTACATGCCTTACATCTAACCAGAATAATGAATAACAAATTGATGCAGACATCTTCCATTTCACTCGGTGAACACAACAAAAGGTAGATATAAGAAAGGTACCACATCACTTGGTCTACTCTCCTTCCAGAATACGTACGAAAGACTCCTTCATATCCCACCCTGCAAAACTGGCGGGAAAACCCCCCAACAACTATGAAAGATAAGTCAGGCCTCCTTTCCTGCGAGAATAAAATGGCAATTACCTAGTCTTGTTCCAAGAGTATGAAAAAGCCTTTGTGCAACTGGATAAAGGATCTCATGTCTACAGCTTAACAAAAGTAAGTTCTGACATGCAGCAAACTAAAAATTCCATTGTATATTAAAAATACGTATTTGAACAAATCAAACTGTAAAAGAATGGTAAACCCCATCAAAAATATTATGATCTAGCATGATAGGCGAATCATTCTTACAGCCTCCAGCCAAGTAAAAAAAACACCCAACAAACGTTTACATACTGCTTGCAAAGTTCCTCACATAACTTGTTAGCAGACTGCATGGACTGGAGTACGTCACTTGATATACTCAGAACAGCTCTCATGCCATTTAAGACAGAAATGCCAGAGGTCTGATCTGGTATACATAAAAACATAATAAGGCCAAAGTCTGTTAAGTCAAGACAGAATCCCAGAACAAAGTGAAAATGTGACGTTTATACAACAGCAGTATCATACTCAGTTATAACGATCGTTGACATGGAACCTTCCTCAAATACGTGGTGGCATAATTTTGCTTTGATCATCTTCTACTATTTCTACCATGCCCTGGGGAAGCACGAGCCACGATTTGTCACTGATCCTGTTACAGCCTAAATGTACAGGCACAAAATATGTTTGTCTCTGCCAAACAGCAGATTAATAAATATGATTTTAGGTTTTTATCAAGTAGTCTGAACCATTCCCCATCTGTAAGCTAAGGAAACAGAATCATCAGTTCAATCATTCAGCAACCTTAGCAAAACAACTTGTTCTTAAGAGTTGCTAATGATCACAGTAGATTCCCTCAAGCAGGATAAAAAACCCCACTCTATAAAAAACAGGGTTGTTGCTGACACTCTGTATAAGAGGTAGTTTTTCCTTGCACAACCTAGCAGGTCATCCTCTTGCAGTCATTAAAAGATGTCAGAAGAACTTCACATTAAGCCATTAGAGATACACCACATTAAACCCTTAAAGATACACATTACATTAACCACTGGCTTAAAACTCCTATTTGAATTAGTCCGAAAAATGCAGAGGTTTTTCATGCCAGCAGGCAGCTGAGCAGAAGTGGACACCCTTCCTCATAAAAAGAACTTGGGCAAGAATCCCCTAATCTAATCATACAAGTAAAATATATACATGTTGAAATTTGTCTGCAAATCCAAATCAATCCTGAAGGGTTTTTTGGTTTATTTTTTAAAGTTTCATGAATATCATGGAGATAAAGGCAAACAGCTTTAACACTGAACATTTCAATCATATAATTTGTTTTTTCTGACCAATTCAAGGGACAGAGGTCAGAAAATTTGAGAAACTGCATGTAAGGAAGAAAATCCAAAACACAACAATTAAACACAAAACGTAAGGCAGTTAGCAGTGCTGAAATCATAAGAATGAAAAGTTTAGATGCTGTTTTCTATGCTTTTAAGCTTGTATTTGAACAAAGTGAACACTAGTAGAACATACAAAAAAACCCCAATCTGCTGCTTATTTGTGGCACTTGGGGAAATAACTAATGACATACTAACTACATTGAACATTTTCAACTTGCAATCAGTGTAAACTGTTCCTGGACATGCTACCACCCTCTTCCAGGAGACGGGACAGAGTGACAAAATAAAGGATAGTTTCCAATCAAAGTATTTTAAAATGACAATAGGAAAGATAAGAGAAAAAAAGAACTCTTGATTACTTCAGAATGTAATTATTTCCCATATCCACTCCAGGATATCTTCCCTGCTCACCTTCATATGAATTCCTTCCTTGTACTTTTCCATGTCATCTCTTATCTTAACTCCCATTAGCATCCCACAGATCTTACCCAAGTGTCACATAGGAAAGGGAGAACTTTTATCAATGAGAGAGGGGCATATAATTAGCTTTAGGGGCTTCTAATGAACTTGGACACAGCCTACCTTCTCTGATTCCTTTAAGTGATCTTCTAGTCACTCCCACTAGCGTACACCATGGTAATTCCACAGCAGCTCCTGCTTCCTGATACCATCAGCAGTTCCAAACAAATGAATCAACTTCCTGATTCCCTTATGTCATCAATTTCACAAATGAAACTCTTTCCTCTACTGCCACCTCATCAGCCATCCTACCCCTACCACCATCATCTACAGCTCCTCTTCCTTCCAAACCAAGCAACCCGCTTAAGCATCCAACTCAATGCAACATTTTTCCCCTCCCAATTTCTTCCCAGTCATTTACTTCCCTAATCTCCTAGGCTTCCAATTTACTGGCAAGTTTTGACCTTTTCCTCTCAATGACATGTACAGAAGGAGGATTGCTAAGACTGTTAAACATAGGAGACCACCTACCTTAAGCTGTTCTTTGTCACTGTAAAGGAATCTACCCTACTCCCCACAGATCCCAGAGGCTTTCCAAGGGGGAAACAGGAAGGGATTAACATTTGACTGTTCTTTTAGGTACACTGAAGCATAGTCAAAGCACTGTTCCTATCTGTAATTCAAGGGGACATTCAGATAGGAAAGAGACATTGTGTTGAGGAAGTACTGTATCCAGACAGTGTATAGGTTCTCCAAGTAATTCTGTAAGGGGAACCTGTCACCAGGTAACAGCAAATTAGTTTCAAGAACTTTGCTTAGAAAAGGGGACATGAAATGATACCTTTGTATCAGGAGGACTCACTGCTCTGTGGGGTGCCTTTATTTATCTACTTAACCTAATGTGAATTTCATATACAGATATACTCCCTCCTCCTCTTTTTAAGGGCTACATAACTTATACTTTGAGCTCTTTGGAGTAACAACACTTTCAGCATGTACCTAATTGGAGCATGGTACGCTGAGACTCTGAAGCTGAAATCATGACCCAAAACAGTACTAGAATTCAAAGAGCAGCAAGAAGATACTGACTGCTATTTTACCGCTTATCTGTATTACTATCCAAACACCCAGACTTGCTGGAGTCTAGACTCCAGGAAATTTACTATGGACATCTATCTCCTCAGTCCAAAACCTATTGTGGAGAAAGAAACCTTCATCCTAGAGCTGAGCAATTTTCTCAACTTCTTCAAGCAGCTTCTGATTAATATTTAATTTTTTGCTTTCAAAAGATGAAGCCCTTAGAACTGTTCCTGGTGTTAAATACTTTCAAAAATCTATCAATCTTCATTATTCTTTCATAGTTTTTTATTAATGCTATAGCGCTGTGTATATGTTCAGATTAAACCTACCAGATCATTAATTAAAAAGAATATAGTAATATTGAACTTTGTTAGTATAGCCTCTTTTTATTGAAAGCAGGTGGTCATCATAATATAATAGCACAGCTATTTAAGTAAAACTAGCACTGTAGACAAAAAACACCATCAGATATTTCATTGGAACTTGATCCATTACATTATACTTGAAACAGACATCACAGTAATCAGAAGTGGTCTAGGTTATAAAACAGAACATGAAGTTTATATGGATTAAAGAAAGTTATACTCACAGCTAGCATTTCTGTAGAGAAGAAAAGGTTCGTGGAGCTGAAACTCTAAATCTTTATTTACTGGTTCAACCAGGTTATGCATGTTCAGTCGATTCACTATCGTAAAACCATGATAAGGAGAAGCTGACCTATTGTTTTCAATTGGAACAAAACCAAAGATTAATACCTTGATCAACGTACACAATTTCCTGAAACAGAGTTACAAACAGATCTTCAAGTCTCCATTGCTTTATTAGGTGAAGCTTTAGCAGTCCTGAAGCTCTAATAGTTGTTTCTCTATGCCATTTCCTGGCATGTCAACTAATTTCAATTTAAATCTACACTTACCTCAAAGTAGGATTAGGATTAACATTACAGTTCTACACTGCTAAACTGCTGAATCAAAGATATGCCTCAAAAAAAATCTATTAAAAAAAACTAGGGCAGGTCTAGGATTAAATTGCAAGTGTATTCAATACTCCACTTAAGATAGTTTTGAGGCATTTTAGAATCCTTTATTAGAGGAGAAAAAAACCAAACCACTTACAGAGCAACATTTACCTTACTGTAAATAGGTACAACAATAAAAAAGTTGTTAGCTTAAATAACATGAAATACACTTAGAGGGGAACCATAAGCAGTAGTTTCTTCCTAAACGGAGACTCTTAAAATAAAGACTTAACCCAGTGTCCTCAAAGTAGATATTAAATTATTCAGAATTGTATTGCTTAGTGAAAAAATTTTTACTATCTAGATTTTTGCTAGAGACCAGGTAGAAAAAGAAAACATCAAGCAAGCAAGCACTGGAAGTTCAAGATAGTTTTAGAATGGTTTTCTCTTGCTGCATGAATGTCATGTCAGCATACTCAACTGTGCTTGTAAACAGTCATATAATCAACACAGCAGCATGATGAAGGCAGGGTCAAAATCAGATATAATTGGCTAGTAAGTGTTAAGATTTCTGTAATAACGTGGCCACCTTTACTGAATGATCAACAACGGAATCTCTCAAGAGCTTCAAAGTAGGGGGAAACAATCCTTACCATCATGAGTTAGTCTTTTAAAACATCTAACAGAACTGGTTTGAAATAATCAGCTAGTCACACAGAAACTTTTTGCTTAGTTTTTTGTTTTTCAGTTTGGTTGGCTTTCTTACACTAAGCATTTCCAAGCTTGGAGCTAAAGTCAAGTCAACAGGAACTGGTTACTAGTATCCGTTCACAGTGCCAGGATAAAATATTGTAATGACCTAGTCTATGGGAGTTTGTTTCAGGATGGATTAAGTCTGCACTATTTATGTTTCTTACATTCAACAGAGTGTTATTTCATCGTTAGATTTTTTATTTTCCTGTAATTTAAAACTTAAATCTATGATTGGTTGTATATGCCTGTTCTCCACCCCACCCCCCTTTCCCCATCCCATACAATTGGAAATTTCTTCATTGGTTTTGATGAAGAAATCAAGTAGCCCCAAAACTATCCACTAGCAGATCTCCAGCTTTTAGGCAACTTTGTCCATTTACAAAAATTTCTACCACTTCCCAACATTAAGTTAGGATAGATTATTTAATTTGCCATCTGTATTGTTTTCATCAACATTACGGATTTTAAGAGACAAAGGAAGACTCAGCATTTAACAAACACGAATGGATTAACAAAATAGGCTCAACTAGGTTTTTGTGTGGATACATACGTGGCATTCATCAAGTTTTAGGATTTCTCAGCAGTACTTTTAGGTGCTTTTGACAGAGTTATTAATCTATGCACAGAGTTTATTCTTTTCAAATGAGTATACAGGCATTAACAGCTGGACAAATGAGTAATTATTAGTTTACTTGATGCAGCAAATCCAGTATGAAAGCTACACATAGCTTAGAAAGGAAAATGATCCCCTCACCAAGAAAAACCCTTACCTTTTGTAAACAAATAAGGTCCCTTCTATGTCGGTTTTCTCCTACAAAAGACAGCAGTTGCATTTAAGGGGAACGCTTGTTCACACAGTTATATATTTTTTGTATAGTATGTTAATTACAGATATTTACAATATCCTTACCTTTCTATAAGGTTTGGCATCATAGGACTAAAAATATGATCTCTTATTTTCAGAAACTACCTATTTTTTCTTAGTAAAACAGGAAATTAAACCCATTTCCAGAAGATTTTGTTCATGCCATCAATCCAATGATGTGATATACAGTGTTCTACAACCTTTCTATGCTGAGCCTGATAGGTCAAAGCTGAACACCTTTCTCACAACTCCTTATTTTAAATACGGATTGCAATCCATTAGCCAGCAAATATCGGATAGGTTGTCATCCACAGTGTTACTTAAAGGACAGCAATGACAGCACAGCCAACGACAGAACAACATTACTATGGATCATGGTGCTGTTGTATACTTCAGTTTCCAAAGTAAACTTTACCACGTGCTTGTGACCCACAAGCACAGAAAGTTGTGTGCGACTCCAGTGCTGCATATGGCAATGGGAAGTTCCATGTATTTCCATTTTCATAGTTTTATGATAAAACTAGTGGTCAAGCAAAAACTGCATTTTAATGCAATGACAATTACTAACATCTCTCAAAACCCACTCTTCTTGAATTAGGGCTCTATTCAACACGCATAAGCAGCAATAACAAGTTACAATTAAAAAAAAAAGTCAACCCAGCAACAGTCACCAAGAGCAAAAGAAACCTCCAGCCCCACAGCTGCTTCGGTCAGTTACCCCGAGTAGGTGACCGAGGCGGTGCCTCCCCGTGCACAAGCACAGGCTTTCCTCTCCTCTCCTCCGGCACAAGCGCCCTTCGGGGTCGACATCTCCGCAGGGGGAAGGCACCCAAAGGCCAAACTTCCCCTTGGGCGGGAGCAGCCCCCGCCGGGGCCCTGTGCCGAGGGGC